CAGGAGCCCCTAGTATGCCAGGAGCCCCTAGTAGCGTCCTTGCTCCTAGTAGCGATGCCAGGAGCCCCTAGTAGCGTCCTTGCTCCTAGTAGCGATGCCAGGAGCCCCTAGTAGCGTCCTTGGCGATGCCAGGAGCCCCTAGTAGCGTCCTTGCTCCTAGTAGCGATGCCAGGAGCCCCTAGTAGCGTCCTTGCTCCTAACAGCAGTGCAGCAGGAAGTCCGGTGACATTGAATGTGATGCACAAAAAGGACAGATCAAGCGAAAGAGGTTGAGCATCCAAGCCAAGTGAAGTGGCACCTGTTGTCTTTTTTGACTCGTTGTTCCGAAGTGTTATGATTCCGACTAGAAGACAGCCGCATGTGACAGCCGTATGAAGTAGGCTTCGTGTGACATCTGAACTCCATCAATCACGACATCCAAAAGAAAGCTAGGACGCTACTGGGTGCACCGTGGGGAGGGCCCTTTGTGGGAGTAAAACAGTGAATTAGAATTGGACAGTACACCAGAGAGGGGTGGCATTCCATACCTCAGTTGGTACTTGCATCCTTCCAGGTAGTAACAAGGGCCAGTTCCATCTACGACAGAACCTGCCAAGAGGCACAGTCAAATCCAGCCAGGTGTCTGAGGCGACCAGCGCTCTTCTGGTGTCCTAAGGACTCGATGCGAGATTGCTGCATCACCCCACAGTTGTGAGCAGCGAAAGTCTACCTACTAGCAATGGCCTCCAACCTACTAGCGATGGCCTCCAATCTAATAGCAATGGCCTCCAACCTAAAAGCGATGGCCTCCAACCTAATAGCAATGGCCTCCAACCTTATACCAATGGCCTCCAACCTACTAGCGATGGCCTCCAATCTCATGGCAATGGCCTCCGACCTAATAGCAATGGCCTCCAACCTAATAGCGATGGCCTCCAACCTAATAGCAATGGCCTCCAATCTACTAGCGATGGTCCAACCTACTAGCGACGGCCTCCAACCTAATAGCAATGGCCTCCAACCTGCTAGCGATGGCCTCCAACCTAATAGCAATGGCCTCCAACCTAATTAATAGCGATGGCCTCCAACCTATTAATAGCAATGGCCTCCAACCTGCTGGCGATGGCCTCCAACCTGATTGCGATGGCCTCCAACCTAATAGCGATGGCCTCCAACCTATTAATAGCAATGGCCTCCAACCTACTGGCGATGGCCTCCAACCTAAATGCGATGGCCTCCAACCTAATAGCAATGGCCTCTAACCTGCTAGCGATGGTCTCCAACCTAATAGCAATGGCCTCCAACCTAATTAATAGCGATGGCCTCCAACCTAATAGCAATGGCCTCCTACCTATTAATAGCAATGGCCTCCAACCTACTGGCGATGGCCTCCAACCTAATTGCGATGGCCTCCAACCTAATAGCGATGGCCTCCAACCTATTAATAGCAATGGCCTCCAACCTACTGGCGATGGCCTCCAACCTAAATGCGATGGCCTCCAACCTAATAGCAATGGCCTCTAACCTGCTAGCGATGGTCTCCAACCTAATAGCAATGGCCTCCAACCTAATTAATAGCGATGGCCTCCAACCTAATAGCAATGGCCTCCTACCTATTAATAGCAATGGCCTCCAACCTACTGGCGATGGCCTCCAACCTAATTGCGATGGCCTCCAACCTAATAGCGATGGCCTCCAACCTATTAATAGCAATGGCCTCCAACCTACTGGCGATGGCCTCCAACCTAGTTGCGATGGCCTCCAACCTAATTGTCTAATCCACCGTGTTGGACATGTCTAGCACTGTGCGCCTTTTACTGTACGACTGCTGCCAGGCAACCAATGCCATCGTCACTGATGGAAAGGGCGCAGTGGGGGGGCGTGGCGCTCAAATCGCAAAACAGTTGCTGCAAAAAACCTACCATATTCGGCAAGAGCTTGTAATATGCAAGTACTACTTAGTACTTCCTTGAGTCCAAGACCAAATTAAACACCAGTCCGCCGTCACGTACTGTAACTGCTGTGGGTGCAGGGAAGTCCTGTCTTAAACTGGCCACTGCTTGATGCTGTGGACTTTGTTGTCAAAGCTTGAGCTAAATGCTCGAATTGCATAAAAATCATAAAGTCTCACGTCAACCGGTTCACTCAATCTTCACTGTCACATGTTACTTCACGAACATCTTGTTACTTCACGGACGTGCTGTCTTAGGCGGTCTTAGATACATTGATCCTACTTGCAGTATTAAAGGCATTTAAAGGCCATTGCAAGGACGCTACTAGGAACAAAGGGCATCGCTACTAGGAGCAAGGCCTCTTCGCTCTGTCTTGGGCCTTGGGTCTTGCGGTTCTCGGACCTGCATCACCTCCTTGGAGTCTGGGCCCAGCTCGCTCTTGAGCTTACTAGCTGCTGCCTTGTCAGCAAGAAAGCTGAAAAGCTTGAAAAGCTGAGATAACCACGTCTGAAAAGACGATGAACCATAAAAACACAAGATTCAAACATAAAAAGAAAAAGAAACACTGAGATCAATAAACACTAACAAGTCCGCTATTTGTGGTAAAGCATTGCACACACCTGGATGACCTCTCTGTGCGCAAAAGTCACTGGCTTAAAGCGAGACCTGGGAAAGGAAAGGCAGTGAACGTCGATCCAACTTGCGTCGAAGGCCCGCCGAAGGCCATCAGGAATTGGCATCTTCAAGTGATTTGGCTTTAGTAGCGATGCCCTTGGTACTAGTAGCTTCTTGTTCCTAGTAGCGATGCCAGGAGCCCCTAGTAGCGTCCTTGCTCCTACTAACGATGCCCTTTGCTCGTAGTAGCTTTGAAAGCACAGTCGTTCACTACTCGAACGAAAGGTCGGTCTGAATGATGAAAATGCTGCTAAGCGCTAACCCAACAGCTACTCAACAAGAATGAAGAGCTCCAACTTTTTGCGTACATAATTGCACTCCATCACTGCAAACAGTCAGCGTTCCAGTGGCCTTTGCACAACAACCGGGCGCTTGTAGAACGCATTGTTTGGGACTGCATGAGCATACCTGCAGGCCAGCCCAACGCAGGCTGTGCAAGAGAACCGTCGGGGACTGGTAAAACCGTTTCACAATCAAAAAAAGAAAAACACATCTCAGAGGACATCTCCCCACATCTCTTTAGAATCTCGTAGGTTGTCAGGTCACTTTTGAGTCGAAGCATCGTAGAGCAAAAGCACCGATGGAGCGAGCTTAAATTCCACCTGGCTGAAGTCAAAAAAACTGAAACATGAAGATCGATAGGACAAAAAAACAATTTTTTTGTGGGGGGTAAGCCGTGAGGAGGTAGGCTTTTAAGCAAGCTAGCAGTGTAAGTAGTAGCTTAAGTAGCTTCCTAGGCGACGCAAGAAAGTTCCGGCTTTTCGAGGAAACCCTCTCACTATTCATGTGGTTCCTAGATCCTTGAGGAAACCTTTAGGAAGAAACATGTGTATCTTGAAACATCACAAATCTCTGACGTTACATAAGAAAGAAAGCATGAGGAAGGACCATCTTCATTGCCAGCAAACGATAGTCAACTTTCTCCTGAATGGCGGCAATCGAAGTGACTTGTCACATCAGTGGTGGTTAAGGGTGTCATTCTATCCCTTGTTCTTTAACTCATGACTCGTGTTACTCATGTTTGTCATTTCGTTGTTTATTCCGTTCTTTCCTTTTTCATTGTGTCTAGACCTTTAGACAAAACTTTAGATCGTTTTTAGACATGTCTTTCTGCTCTTCCTTCCTCCTTTCCTGCTTTCTGGTTCCTTTCTTTTTGGAAAGACCAGGTCCAACGTGAAGGCGAAGACCGCGGAGGGACTGATACGGAGAGGGACGGGTGAAGATGAGCTGCTCCGGTTAGTCAAGGAAGCTACGAGAAAACCTCACTATTCAAACTAGTAGGTTGCAGGCCATCGTTAGTAGGTTCAGTAGGTTGGAGGCCAT